CCAGATAGTGTCAGGGACTATCGACTTATATTTCCTCGTTAGGGTTAATGTCATGTATTTGTAAATTTCCCACTAAAACCTCTCTCCCACATTATGCAATAGGGGAAAATGCAATTTGAGTTTTCTGTAAATATATTTTAGGAAACGATATTGGCTTTCTATCGGATAACCAAAGGAAATTGAGAACGGGTGTGTATTTTATACCAGGTTAGACAAATATTTTTATTGAATAATTACATACTGAATTTCGTTTTAAAAACTCTAACAAAACAAGCGGTGCAATTCCATTAGCGCATGAATATCGACATGATTGTGTCTCCATGCTGTTAACGATCTGTAATTAGGGTTATTCCAGTAATGAAATGGGGGGCGGTGGGGTAGCCTAGTGGTTAAAGCGTTGGCTCGTCACGCCGACGACCCGGGTTCGATTCCCCACATGGGCACAATGTGTTAAGCCCATTTCTGGTGTCCCCCGCCGTGATATTGCTGGAATATTGCTAAAAGCGGCGTAAAACTAAACTCAGTCAGTCAGTAATGAAATGTGATTGATGTTGTGTTTGCCAACACGGTGACATTGACGGTGACAGCGAGAATCAGCATCGAAATACTTCTGAATGTACAACCTTAAACAGATACCGTAATTCCAGTACGTAATCTGTTGGCTGTTACCTGGCCACAATTGTTTTTTTTCGAAAAGCATTTAGTTCAGCATTTTATCAAGTATGTTTAAATGCAGTTATTATAAAAAAAATTTTACAGATAAAGATGAAAATGCAGCAGCGAGGGTTCGGGTGATCTTGACCGTCAGGCTGGTAAGGCTCATCATCAGCTCAGGGCCCTTGCCCCCTCTACACGCAGCCCAGACAGCGAATGGGACTTCTCCCAGGAAACGCTGCCTACTCGAACCCACCAAGAACTTTCCGGAGAATATGAAGGCTCCCCAACACTGCAGCCTTCTGCATTACTCTGAGTGTCAGAAGGGCTGTGCTCCCGATGGAGAACCCGGGCATTCTCCTGATCTGCGCCAAGAGATCAGGAGGTACCAAACCAAGGGCACCGAGAACAATGGGGAGCCTGACGACAGTGTACTTGGGATGCAGGCGAGACATTTCAAAGGCGAGGTCCGCATATTTATCATGCTTTTCCTGAATCTTGCCAATCACATTGCTGTCAAAAGGGACAGAACATTCAATGATATAAATAGATTCATTGTTTTTATCAAAGAGGACAAGATCAGGTTTGTTGGCTGGAATTCTTCTCAGGCTGTATATGGGCTTCTTCCACAGAAGTTTAAAGCTGTCATTTTCCATGACGCCCTGGACATGTTCAGGGTCGTACCATGGATGGACCTCGGAGTCAAAGCCACAGGCATGGCGGTGACGGTAGTAAAAGCAGCGAGCCATGCTATCATTTTTTTAAAGATATGATGTTTGTGCCAAGGAAGGGCATCCACTGACAAGGTGTTGGACAGTCTCTGTGAATTCATTGCACAATCAACATTTCATACTGATATTTTCTTTAAGAATGACATTTTGGCGATTGCGAGTGGGAAGTGACTGGCCCTGAGCAGCAAAACGAAAGCCCCCAGTTTCACATTTAAGACCTGCCGATTTCATCCAGGCAAAGGAGTCGTTGGGATTGCTATTCCGTTCCGCACATTGCATGTACACACGATGCAATGGCTTCTCAGAAACCTTCTTCACAAATGACCTACTCTGGGCAGACTTGGTGAAGGACTTCACCTGGTTAACTCCCATCGTTGTACTGTCCAGCAGTACATTGCCATCAACAAAATCATTTGTAATTGTATGTAATTAATAATAATAAATATACAAATATCCTATAATAAACACAAATAATAACAATAATAAATCCATTTAGAGTTTTCAATATTGACAGTTTGTGAAAAGCGAAATGAATATATATACTAGTACTTATATATTTCTATTCCGTATTCCAGGTTGAGCAAATGTTGGCCATTTCTAAAACTGTATTTTTTGGACAGTTGGACAAAAGTCGTCGAATGAGTAGGGTTGCATTTAGACGTAGGCGATGTAGAACGATAGTCACAATATGGCTGACTTGAAATCATAACTCACTCTCTCATGGTCAGTTCAATGGGAAATCACGAAATACACCGGTAAACCTGTCTGTAACAAATTATTCTATATACGCTGAACAATTCATAACCAACCGATTGAAAAAAGCGTCTGAAAGAGGTATGTTGACGTTTCCATTTCACGACATTTTATCCTTCAAATGGGATATGACAGATCACTTATCCTTTTCATGGGAAATTCCAGGAGTCACTCAACATGAATATAAACAGAGATTCATCGTTATTGATCCCAGCACGCTGTTGGGATATGCTTGCATATGAACCAGTTATCTTATTGACTGCATGCCCACGGTGTAACAGTTGTGTTCGACCCATCCTTGTGTACGAAGAAAAGATTCCTGCCAGTGGAACAAAGAAACTATGAGTAAACCTTGAGAGTTCTGACATCCCAAATTGTACATATGTTGTACACGTAGACTATTAATAAGTACATACTTGTGTCCTGACTCCAAATCTGTTCTTAAGTGACCACTATCACTCATCTAGTGTTTGTTTGCTGTTTAATATACCAGCTGTATGTCGGTGATCTGCAAATAACCGAGTATGGACCAGACAATCCAGTGACCAACAGCATTACGCAATATAGCTACATGTATCAACAAAGTCAGCGAACCTGACCACCCGATCCCGTTAGTCGCCTCCTACGAAAAACATGGGTTGCTGAAGACCAGTTCTAATGCGTATCTTCACAGGTCTATTAATGCTATAAGCCAAACCGATACGTCAGGTAACACTTTCATGACTAAGTCTTGATAAATATGCCAAATAGGAGATTAATAGCACATCAACGAGAGGCCTTCTTTCTCATCAAACCTTTAACAAACACCAATCTATTTAATAAAGGATTTCCCAAACTGTCGCGGAAACATCGATAGACATCTTTACATGTCATTTAGTGCGAAATGACGAATTATATTTCAGTTTACAAAATGTATTCATACATCTTGACGGTTTCGAATGCTACTCCAGTGTGTAAATTGCGTCTTAGATATGACTTATTTTAATAATGATATTATGTGATCAATAGATGACTACTCCCATTTGTTTCCAACGTCTCGCGTAAGTTTTGATTCCTAAATTATTATATTTACACGTAAGCACAATAATAATCTCTACATTATCAGATGAAAACTGTCTAACAATTTTGTAAAGACAGATATCACACTCTCTTTGTTGACAAGACACAAAGCAACGTACACATCTGTCAATAAACATCTTTACATAGCGCTGTCTAAATGTCATATAACAGGGGGAGTGTCATGTATGTGTATATACAGCGCCGATATTTCAATACCTCAATCAACTGCACCCAGCTGCTCTGTCAACAGAAAGGGAATTAATAGCCTCATCTTGTGGCAACATTAGCTCTTCCAATAATTACTGTTATTTCTCAGTTGGGAGGGAGGAAATCGATATGATTATATCTATAGACACGCGAGAATACATTGTCCATAATCATAGGATGTATACATACGTCAGAGCAAAATAATAATTAGTTTTGACAATCCTCAGAAACAGATTCCATATGGTGTAGAGGGGCAGAATATCATAAAATCATGTGAATAGACCACTGAAAAATCAGTGATGATACCAGACTTCTTGTTTCGTTGGATCTTTGTTTAATACAGAATTGTATGACTAAATATAAAGTTCCAAAACGCATGACGAGAAGACATCTGATGAGACCCGTGAAGATCCGGGTTAGAATTGATCTTCAGTAACCCGTGCTTGTCGTAAGGGGCGACTAACGGGATTGGGTGGTCAGGCTCGCTGATTTGGTTGACACATGTCATCGTATCCCAATTGCGTATATCGATGCTCATGCTGTTGATCACTTGATTGTCTGGTCCAGACTCGATTATTTACAGACCGCCGTCATATAGCTGGAATATTGCTGAGTGCGGCGTAAAACTAAACTCACTCACTCACTCACATCTGATGATTATATTTAATACATGTATGGCTGTACTTGTAATGATAAGTCCACAAAGCGCAATAAGACAACAAAACAAATTCGTATAAAATTACTCTGATATATAATTTAGATATTAGATGATGTGGTTGCAGATTTTGAGATCTTAGATACTAATACATGAATATAAAAACGACAAAAATACTTTGTCGAAATTATTATACTTTAAAAGGATAAATTTGACATGAAAAATGAGTCGGATGTGGAAATTGAGATTAGGCTAACTTCATGTTAATACCAAATAGCAAATTGAACAGCATCTCGATGTAATCAGAGTGATATGGGATCTTTGAGTGAGTGAGTGAGTGAGTGAGTATGGTTTTACGCCGCTTTTAGCATTATTCCAGCAATATCACGACGGGAAACACCAGAAATGGGCTTCACACATTGTACCCATGTGGTAGGAATGGATAAAACTCATGAAATTCAACCAACCAAGAGAAGGTCATGACTTCTTGGGTTATCAATCATGAGGGGCGTTGCGGTAGCCTAGTGGTCAAAGCACCCGCTCATCACGCCGAAGATTCGGGGTTCGATTCCCCACATGGGTACAATGTGTGAAGCCCATTTCTAGTGTCTTCGGCCGTGATACTGCTGGAATAGTTCTTAAAGCGAGTAGAAACATGTTCACTGACTGTCAGTTAAGACGTGATGTGGTACGTTTGCGACGTTGTCGTATTGGAGGTTTGTAAAATGATTGTAATTGTAATTGTAAATATGTATGTGTACAACCAACGGCTTGTTTTCAAATTTGGTGTGAGGGTTTTATCAACGGAGATTTCCGGAGGCTCTGTCCAGGAGGTTTGCATTTTATCCCCCTTGTGACACGTCATTGTGTCATAATCAGCGTAAATATGTCATCAAACTCACTCACGCACATTCACACACTATTATTTCTTCTCGTTGTAGGCTCTTTATGCTGATTCTGTGGCTACCTCCGTGCATCACAGACCGTATCGCCAACAGTGAACCCGGGGTCTGCAAGTGGGAACCATCTGAGAACAGGGCCTTTGTCATCGTAATTGCAACAGTGGGTCACCATGGTGCCTGTTTCATACAAATATTCTGTTTCTTGAAAGTGTTCATGTTCATGAAGAAACGAGCCAAGCTTGGACCAATTTCGAAGGGAATCACCTCCTCCAAACCTAAACCATCCGTCCTCGAAGACACGCCAACTCCAGAACACCCATTCTGCTCAATCCAGCAAAGCTGCAAGCTCCCAAAGTAAATAACGACAGCCAGGAAAACTCAAGTTCCGTGTCGACCAATTGCGTTGTTACACTAGCTCATGACTGCGACAACCCAATCCCAGCAGTTGAAACAGCGACCTCTGCTCAGCCATCTACTTCACTCCATCCACCCAAACAGGTCCCTTCTAAGAAGTCAGACCACAGTTCGACGGACAAGCGAGAACGTAAAGTGTTTGTTACACTGACCTATATTATAGTGGGCTACATGATATGCTGGGTGCCTTTCCACGTCGTGTTTGACATCAGCGCCTATGACCCGAAAGTAGTTCCAGAGATCATATACACCATAACATTTTGGATGACGTATCTCAACTCGACCATAAACCCTTTCCTGTACAATTTTAGTAGTCCCGATTTTCGTCGAGCATTTAAGAAAATACTTACTTGTAAATGATCTGTAATGTTTTTCTTTGGTAAGTATCTTAAACCTATAGAACTTAATTACTTACACTGGCACTGGAAACACCCGCCAGTTGCTAGGGAAAGCCAACTGTGTTGGTTGAAAGTAGCCGAATACAGATTAAAATCTGTAGGAGCCATGTCGCTCTTCACAGTCTGAACCGATCTCATTCAAAGATCCTGGATGCAGCTAAACGAAGACCAGTCTCATTAAAAGCAGATAATAGTTCTCGCTTGCAATCAACAGAGATCTGAGGACATCCCATAACAGGTCATGTCAGATGACCTTTGGAGAACTCGAGCAATGACATTGCTGACACAAAGTCGACATCAACCTATCAGAAAGCAGCTTTCACTATCCATACGGCACTAATTTCAAACTAGCAACTTCGTACCAGACTTCGCTTTGAAAACTATTTCCATGATATTCTCGATTCAAAATTTGAAAGACTGAACAAAATAACTTGCTAGAATGTCTAACGGAAGGTCGTGATTGAATGACATTCCCACCCTCTATGTAAAGTCTATTCTCTTGTTCAAATGTTCATCCCATTGAAGCTGCATACGGCGTTCTTGGAGGAATCAGACAGACAGCCCTTATCTGTCAATCGTAATACTCCGTATTAACCTTTTCGATGAATACTATTCCCATGGACAATACTCAGATCTGGACGTGGTAACGTGCAATCTGATTGGTGGAATGAAAGGTCAACCTCTTTGAACTGAGATCTGATTTTTAGTACATTGAGTCTAAACCAACTCTTTGGACATTTGCAAATGATCAGTTCTAGTACCAAGGACTACCATCAAAGGAATCACCCAGAGCATGCTCAGGAAGTTGTTCAGGAGCTCCTTTCACGAAGCAACCCTTACTAAGGTTAACCTTTACTCCCATTCTTTAACATTGCACTAAGGTTACCTTAGTGACTTACGTTCACCTTAGTGCTTTGTGAAAGGAGGCTCTGGTCTGTTGGAGCCCATCTTCCTTGTAACCTCCGTTATGTTACATAGCTTTTGTAACTTTTCTGTTTGAGCCTTTACATCAAATACACCCTTAGCCATCTTAAACAGATACGACAAATGGTGCTCTGCCCAGTTTTCTCGGTTAATGTATTATAAGTGTCCCGAACAACCAGATTGCCGCTTACAACGTTTCACCTATGTCTCTTGTATGGTATATTATCATACATATATGTCTTGTGTAACTGTGCAGTATGAAGTATATCAACTGTTTCTATATGAACCCAGACAGGACCCATGCCCTATGTATATCATTCACATGTTATATATCATATATCACATACTATGTGGTGAGGTAGGCTACTGTGTCAGTACAGCATGAAGTATCTAATCTATATGCCCTATACAGTACATAGCCTCTGTGTCCTATGCTATATTTCTGTAAAACATTAGCCCTATTCATCACGTTCTGTGCAATGATGTGAGGTGAGGTGAGGTGAAATTGGGTTTTTACGTCGTACTTGAGAATATTTCGCTCATATGACGACGTGCATGCGTGTGTATGTGTATGTGCGGCTGCTTGTACTAGTCCAGACTTAAGCTGGTTTTATAGTGCTAGCCCACTGAGATACCATGCCGCAGTGAAGCATGAATACCCCACTCAGACACATTATACTGACTCCGAGCCGACCAGTCCTTGTTGTACCCATTAACGTCTAGCGCCAGGCAGGGACCAACAAGTACCATATTTTAACGTCGTGTGGTATGACGCGGTCGGGGATCGAACCCACGACCTTCCGCTCTCCGGGCAGACGCTCTAACCACTACACCACGGAGGCGGTCTTGTGCAGTGATGTACCCCAATGTGTCAGTTGTATTATATTATATGTGAGCGCCTATATCACATATGTACTGTATATTGTGTGTAGTATAACGCATATGTGTCATGTGTCACATACTTAGTACCATCAACGTGTCCATGTTATATACTTGGCGCCATGAATGTGTCCTAAGTACCATATTCCCTATGTGTTCTGTTCAGTATATCACATGTGTGTTATACACCTGCGTTTCCATTGTATCACTACGTAGTCACGAGTGAGTGAGTGAGTTTGGTTTTTCGACACTTTTAGCAATATTCCAGCAATATCACGGCGGGGGACACCAGAAATGGGCTTCACACATTGTACCCAAGTGAGGAATCGAACCAAGGGTGGTCGGCGTGACGAGCGAACGCTTTAACCACTAGGCCACCACACTCCCTTCCTGTAGCCACGAGGATTACACGAGAATGGCACCAGTAGCTAATGTCGTCCGGATTAACTAATGTCAGAATGTTTTATTACACATCGAGGGAATACAATTCACAATGGGTATAGTCCCGTGAAGAATCAATGAACGTACATCCATTAAAATGTACTGTACCTTGTCTGTAGCGCGGATATATTAGCTGACATGACAACAATGGTTCCTTGTATATGGTAACGAAGTATTGTATATGTTTGTATGTATTCTTGCAAATAGTTTGCCTATTAGAGTTTACTTTCAATATACGTGTTGAATCGCAGACCCTGAGGGAATGGGAGCATTTACCTCCCTCTATAAACAGTAAATCCATCATAGTATTGCGTTCTTTCTATGATCTAATAAATTCATCTGCATTTCATAAAACCAAACGCACTGTGATCTAAACGTTCAATAGCATGGGAATACAATGATGAGTTTTTGAAATTGAGATCTGTGAAGAAGCACGAGATATTTGTTGCAGTTCACATACAAGCATTCTCTGGTGGCCATTTAATTCGCTTGAATAGCTGTAATTGGTTTTCACATAAAATAAGAACGATTTCCCAAACGTTTTTTTACTTACAAAGAAAAACATATATATACCCATCATGCCTTAACAGTTAAACTCGTGGCTATGGGGTAGCCTAGTGGTTAAGGTGTTCGCTCGTCACGCCGACGACCCGGGTTCGATTCCCCACATGGGTACAATATGTGAAGCCCTTTTCTGGTGTCCCCCGACGTGATATTGCTGGACTATTGCTAAATGTGACGTAAAACTAACTCACTCACTACTTGTAAGCATCGGAACCTCAGTACTCGTAGACAGCAGTCGTAATGTAAAATTATCTGATTGGATATTCTTGTCCTTCAATCACTTGATTGTCTGGTTAGTTTATAGGCCGCCGTCGCATGACAGGCACACTGCTGTGCTGCGTCAGGTATGAAATCCGTCCATGTTTAGGCAAATTTTGTGAATGGCTGGGGCCACAGATAGGGCAGACCATGCTTATCTTTTTCAGGAACACGTGTCATCAATGATATTCAGTGATGGTTCATATAATTTTCACAGCTAATATTTTCTTTTAACCCAAATGGAATTGTTTCTGGGGAGAGTCAAGACTGAGTATTCTTTTGTACAAACGTACCATATTCACAACATGGTGCATCCTAGACACAATATCGGGGTATACACATCCGTTAGCTTTGGGACATTAATATAGTCTGCTAAAGAAGGTTTAAGTCTGGCTTTGCTCTCAGGGTTACCATAAATAATGACCATTTCCAGATAAAATACACCCTTGAAGATCCGGCCGTTTGTGTCTTTCTCCAATATGAATCCAGGTAAGGTTATGTTGGTTCCTGGGATTAAATGTTAAACATATTTTGAGCATCGGTAAGATCTACAAATATCGAAAGCTCTAAATATTATTTCTTTGAATCTTTTTATATACGAGTCATATAGTTAGCGGCGTCAAACAGACACAGTGCCCGCGATGTAGTATTATTAACAACGGTAGTTGCCCATGGTGCCCGTGACGTAGTAGCAGTTGCCAAACAGTTGCCATTAGTAGAAACAGTTGCCATTAGTGCCAGCGAAGTAGTAACATTTGCCAATGGCCCGCGAAGTAGTAACAGTTGCCAATGGTCCCATCGAAGTAGTAACAGATGCCTTTGGTGCCCACAAAGTAGTAACAGCTGCCAACGGTGCCCGCGAAGTAGTAGCAGCTGCAAGTGGTGCTCGCGAAGGAATAACAGTCGCAAATGGTGACCGCACATTAGTAACAGATACCAATGGTGCCCGCGAAGTAATAACAGTTGCCAATGGTGCCCGCGAAGTAGTAACAGTTGCCATTGGTACCCACAAAGTAGTAACAGCTACCTCTGGTGCCCACAAAACAGTAACAGTTACCAGCAATAGTATTCTGGTGTCCCCCGCCGTGATATTGCTGGAATATTGTTAAAAGCGGCGTACAACCAAACTCACTCACTCACTACCAGTAGAAGTAGTAGCCAGCGGTCTCTGAGACAAGCTACATGGAACATAAACTCACAGCATTTGTCTTCTCGGAAGACATTGGCGGCCAAATGGAAGTTGGAGAGAAGTCTTCTGGGTGGTAAAGACATTTATTGTCAGCCTCACCTTGTACAACAATGTTTACTGTCAACCACAGAAAGGAACACAAGTCGACCCCATGGGAATTGAAGGAAACATCGAGCACGAACTATGTACACTTGGATTAGAAATATAACAATGCTCACCATCGAGCTGAGATTCTGTTAAGGGTTTTGCCAGTATAAACCGTTATATCTCTTTTGGACACTAAAAACAGAACGTTTGAACTTGAGCAAGTGTAATGGAATACCAATTCAAAACAGAGATTTTGTACTTGAGGAAGTAAATGAAATACGTATTGCACTCCTCAGCTCTTACCAGATAATGTTAACGCCAGATAACAATCAGCTTCGATTATCTCTCAAAGCACATTCCATAATTCATAGAAGGCACACAGTGGTGACATTTACAAAAATCGATATCTGGAAATTAGGGATCACGTTATCGCAAATATGACGCGTTCCTGTCACAGATTCTATTCAAATTGTGGACTGTGATACGTGTTCAACATAAGGGATTAAAATGATTTGAAGACAATTCAAAAATTGATTGTGGCAAACGGTGTGGAATGTGAATAGCGCCGCTTTGTTTTTTTAAACTTATGTTGTCCCTGTTTTGTGACGTGTCACCACTGC